TCTTCCGTGCTGCATGGTAGGTGCCCTGGAGAATTCAAGGAAAAGTAACATTCTGGTTAGGAGACAAAACTAACAAAAGTAGAAAACTTAGGCCACTGCAGCTTCCTAGCTGAGAAATCTCATGTGCGTCTGGCCTTCACATGCTCGAGGACAATGCCCTTCCCAACCCCATCTTCCTTTTTAAAAGTTTTCTGTTGTAGTAAGAAGAATAATATATCATATGGTTAAAAAATATATGGTTAAAATGGCAGGTTTGTGAGATACCTGTATGTCACACAAAATTGTGTATGTGTGTAAAGTATGTGATATGCATATAGATATGTAAATATCCATATGTGATATATACATGTTTTATGGATATGTAAAATACATATGTGATATGCATGTATAACATAAAATTTGCCATTTTAACCATTTTTAATTGTACAACTCAGTGGCATTAATTACATCATCACCACCATTATCTCCAAAACATTTCATTAACCCCAAGCAGAAACCCTATAATCATTAAGCAATAACTCTTCATTTCACGCCCCCTCCCCCACCCCGGCAATCTCTTAATCTACCTTGTCTGTTTGATGTAATCACATTTATTTATTTCTGCTTTTGTCACTTTTGCTGTCATAACTTAGAAATTATTGCCAAGTTCAATATACTGAATCGTTTCCTGCATGTTTTCTTTTAGGAGTTCTATACTTTCAGACTTGGTGTTTAGGTCTCTAATCTACTTTGAATTAATTTTTGTACATGGTGTAAGATAATCCACCTTTATTATTTTGCTTGTGGATATCCAGTTCCCTCAACACTGTTTGTTGAAGAGACTGCACTTGAGTAGATTTGGCATTCTCACTGGATATCATTTGACCATATGCATAAGCATTTATTTCTGGGCTCTATATTCTATTTCACTGGCTGTTTTTCTCTATGCCTTGTGATGTATTTTTGGTTGAACACTGGATATTTGAATATTATATTGTGGTAAATCTGGAAATCAGTGTCACTCCCTTTTCCAGGGTTGTTGTTAGTAATTTTTATAATAGAAGATTTTAGTAGTCTTGTTTTGTGACTTTTCCAAACTATTTTTGAAAAGACTGTATTCGTTGTCATGTATGGTCACTAGACTCTGTTCCTTAGTGATTGCTTAGTGTGTTCAGTTTGGCTTCTTTCATTCAGCATAATTATTATGAGATTCATCCATGTGGTAGCATACATCAATAATTCATTCCTGCTATTACTGAGTAGTATTCTATGGTTTGAATATAACACAATTTTTGTACATACTTTCACCTGTTGATGGATATTTGAATTGTTTCCAGTTTTTGGCTATAACAACTAAGACTACAGTAAACACTGTATTCAAATCTTTGTGTTGCCTTATGCTTTAATTTCTCTTGGGTAAATACTTAAAGGTGAGTTCATATGGTACATGTAAGGATTATGTTTTTAAAAACTGCTAAGCTGTTTTCCAGAATGGTTGAACCAAGTTACACTCCCACCAGCAGTGCTTGAAATTTCCACTTCCTTCATCTGTCAACGTTTACATTAGTCAGCGTTTTTGATTTTACACATTCTAAGGTAGACAGTGAATGTCATTGTGGCTTTACTCCATGTTTCCCTGATGGCTAGTGACATCTGACCATCTGTTCATGTACTCATTTGTCAGTCTTATATCTTCTTTGTGGAAGTGTCTGTTTAAAATATTTCCCATTTTAATTGGGTTGTTTGTTTACTTGTTGAATTTTGAGAATTAAAAATATATATATATTCTAGATGTTAGTCTTTTATCAGATAGATGATTTGGAAATATTTTCTCCCAGTTGGTGGCTTTTCTCTACTTTTACCTAACAATGCCCTTTGAAAAAGTGGAATTCATAATTTTGATAAAGCCCAATTAATGTGATTTTTTTCTTTTCGTACATTATGTTGCAATATTATACCTAATAAAACCTTTAACCCAGGATCACAGAGATTTCTTCCTATATTTTCTTCCAGAAGTTTTATAGTTATGTTTTACATTTACAACTATAATCCATTTGTATTAAATTTTCTATATGACTAATGAACAGATCAAAGTAAAAGTTCATTTGCATATGGATATCAACTGTTCCAGCACCATATGCGGAAAAGACTTCCCCTTCTGTATTAAATCGCCATTGAATCTTTGTAAAAAATCAATTCACCATAAATATATGGGTATATTTTTGGATTCATCATTGGTCAATTTATTTTGATGCAGTATCATAGTTTTTATTGCTGTCACTTCATAATAAATATTGAAGTGAGATTATGTATATTCTCAAACTTTGTTGTTCTTTTATAAAAGTTATATTGACTATTCTCATTCTTTGCATTCTTACATGAATTTTAGAATCAGTTTGTTAATTTCTACACAAAAGATTGCTGGTATTCATACAAAACATTGTTAGAAAAATGAAAGAAGATAAGAATAATTGGAGCTATATACTGTGTTTATAGATCAGAAGCACCTATATTGTTAAAATGCTAATTTTTCCCAAATTAATTCATATATACCTCTCTGCCTCAAAGGGGTCCACCCTCTAGTTCCTGATATTAATGGCTGTATATGTTATGTTACATAGCCAAGGAATTTTGCAGGTGGGTTTAGGTTATAAACCTTCATAAAGGGAAATTTTTCTGGATTATCCAGGTAGATTCAGTATAATCACAAGGGCCCTTAAAAATTAAGTGAAAGGTGGAAGAGCCAGTTAGAGAGCTGTGACAGAAGAAGTGGCGGGAGAGATTTGAAGTGTGAGAGGGGCCTTGCTGACTTTGAAGATGGAGTAATTGAGGCATGAACCTGGGAATGTACATGCCTCTGCAAGCTCAGCACAGCTTTTGGGTGACAGCCAGTAAGGAAACAGGGGCCTCAGTCTTACAGCTGCAGGGAATTGGATTATGTGAACGCCTGAATGAAGAGAGAAGCAGGTCCTCCCCTAGCGTCTCCAGACAGGTAGGCAGCCCTGCCAATACTGTGGCTGCAGCTTCATGAGACTCTCAACAGACATCCTGCTGTGAACCAGCATACTCTGACCTCTGAAAACCATGATGTAATACATAGGTGTTATTTCAAGCTACTATGCTTAGGATCATTTGTTATGGCAGCTTTAGAAAACTAGTACACACCTGTAATGTATGGAATCCATAGTCATGCCACTGATCTTGTTCTCGATATTGGCAACTTTGTTTTCTCACTTGTTCTATTCAGGTAGGCTAAGCGTTGACCAATCTTACTGAGCTTTTGAAAGAATCGGGTTTTGGTATCATTGCTTTTCTCTAACATTTTTCCAGTTTCTATTTCACTGATTTCTGCTCCAGTCTTTATTATTTCTTTTCTTCTACTTATTTTGGGTTTCATTTGCTCTAGCCAGTAAGAAAAAAATAAGCAGATCATTTAAACAAAAACTTTATAAAAGAAGATACATGGAAGGTACATTGAGAGATGCTCAATGTTGGGCTGGGCATGGTGGCTCATGCCTGTAATTCCAGCATGTTGGGAGGCTGAGGCAGGTGGATCATTTGAGGTCAGGAGTTTGTGACCAGCCTGACCAACATAGTGAAACCCTGTCTCTACTGAAAATACAAAAATTAGCTGGTTGTGGTGGTGTGCACCTGTAATCCCAGCTACTTGGGAGGCTGAGGCAGGAGTATCACTTGAACCTTGAACCCGGGAGACGGAGGTTGCAGTGAGCTGAGATGGCACCACTGCACTCCAGCCTGGGTGACGGAGTGAGATTCCATCTCAAAAAAAAAAAACAACAACAACAACAAAAAAGATAACGTCATTAGTCATGAGAGAAATGCAATTGGAAACCACAGTAAGATCCCACTACACATCCACAGGAACGTCTAAAATCAAAAAGGCTGACCAAGTTTTGGTGAAATGTAGGAAAACTGGAATTCTCATACACTGCTGGTAGGATTGTAAAATAATGAAATCATTTTGGAAAATAGTTTCACAGTTTCCTAAAGCATAAATGTTTCATATAACATTACATAGTATTAACCTGTCATATATCCAACCATCTCATTCCTAGGTATTAACCAAGGGAACTGAAAGCATATGTACATACAAAGACTTGTATATGAATGTTGATAGCTTGTTCATTTGAAATTGCCAGACACTGGAAACAATCCATGTGTCCATCGATAGGTGAATGGTATGTACATTATAACACATCCACATACTATCATACTACTACACATGAAAAAAGATAAACTATTGACTCATACACCAACAGTGAAGGTTCTTAACATGATTATGCTGAATATTGACTTTTTGGTCTAGATGATATGTCTATTGAGAAATACTCAGAGAAAAAATATAACTAGCCAGGCATGGTGGCGCATGCCTATAATACCACCACTTTGGGAGGCAGAGAAGGGTGGATCACGTGAGGCCAAGAGTTTGAGGCCAACCTGGTCAATATAGTGAAACCTCATCTACTAAAAATACAAAAAATTAACTGGGTGTTGTGCATGTACCTGTAGTCCCAGCTACTTGGGAGGCTGGGCTTCCCAGCTTGAGCCCGGGAGGTGGAGATTGCAGTGAGCGGAATTGTACCCCAGCCTGGGCGATAGAGCAAGACGATGTCTTAAAAACCGCAAAACAACAACAAAAAACAGTGGTATAATTACAGAAAACCTGCATTTATAGGAAATGTAAAGCAATCGATAGTGAAAGAAAAGAGATGAATGGTTACTGGGAGTGTGGGAGTTGACCGGGGAACAAGAGGAGCTACAGAACGTATAGGAATGAATAAACTTCTAGGCTCAACGGGCGTGGGCATGATCTTGATCACAGTGTTGGTTTCATGAGTATACATACACATTACCAAATGGAAGTTATATGCATTTTAAGTACATGCACTTTGTAGTGTGACAGTTATTCTTGATAAAGAAAAAAGGCAACCAGAAGATAAACAATGAATCGGTGTGTTAACAGTGGAGCTATATCTCTATGTCTATTTACTTATTTTCAGGATGGATTGCTATTCTGGGTGCCATCTGGTTGCTAATTTTAGCTGACATTCATGATTTTGAGATAATTCTACACAGAGTGGAATGGGCAACCCTTCTGTTCTTTGCAGCACTCTTTGTTCTGATGGAGGTAAGATTTTAGAACTTTTGCCATATGATATCCTGATTTTGTATTTCATATTTTATTTGGTGAATGAAGAAAGTCTATGTCTATAAATCTTTCCTCATATTCTTTGAGTGGAAAAGAGTGGAGGTTTTAATTGGACTAATTTAAGTTAACCAAGTTTACCTTGGCTACTGTGATATTTCTGGTAGCATTCTTTATTTGGGTGCTGTTTTTCTTTTCTTTTCTTTTTTTTGAGACGGAGTTTCGCTCTTGTTACCCAGGCTGGAGTGCAATGGCACGATCTCGGCTCACCGCAATCTCCGCCTCCTGGGTTCAGGCAATTCTCCTGCCTCAGCCTCCTGAGTAGCTGGGATTACAGGCACGCACCACCGTGCCCAGCTAATTTTTTGTAATTTTAGTAGAGACAGGGTCTCATCATGTTGACCAAGATGGTCTCGATCTGTTGACCTCATGATCCACCCGCCTCGGCCTCCCAAAGTGCTGGGATTACAGGCTTGAGCCACCGTGTTTTTATTTTCTTGAATTATCTTTGTGGTTTGTAAACTCATTCTAATTTCATTCTCTATAAAATATAATTTATTATAAGTTTAGTTTGGAGCTAAATTACTTTTAATAGCAAGTTTACAAGGCAGTATAACCTTGATGATCTGTTTCATTTTGTGTAATATTTGAGTAAAATTTCTGTTATCACAGAAAAGACTACATCAGTAATATGTATTGTTTCAGTTACAATTGTTGTTACAGAATTACTCACAATACTTTTAAATCTTGAGACTTCATTTACAAACTCATGTCCTCCTCAAACAGAAAGGGTTACTAACATAGGAAGATATGATTTCTCAGACCATTCCCCCAGCACCACTTCTTTGCATTTCTTCAATTTAACATGTAAGGTACTTTCATTTTCATTAAGCTAGGAATGTTTTCTAATTTTTCATACAATTTCCTTTTTTGACTTGGGTTATTTCAAAGGATGTTTTGCAGGTTCCAAATATTTGGGGATTGCCCAAGTTTCTTTATGTTTTTGATTTTTAATTTAATTCAGTTGTGTCCACAGGACATACATTGTATGATTCAGTCCTTTTCATTTTATTAAGACTTGTTTTGCGGTCTAGCATTTGATCTGTCCTGGAGACTGCTTGTGATGTGTATTCTGCTGCTGTTTGGTGGAGTGTTCTATGAGTATCAGATCTGTCCTGCTTGTCCGTAGTTCTGTCTCTTGCACATTACTAGTGATATTCTGTGAAACCATTCTATCAGTTATTTAGAGTGGGGTATTGCAGTCTTCAGCTATTATTGTTGGATTGGGTATTTTTCCTAACTTGAGGATTGGTGGTTAAGTGTATATACTTTTGTAATTATTACATTATCCAAATGAATTGAAGTCTTATCATTACTAAATGTCTCTTTTTCTCTGGTAATATTTTCATCTTCGAGTCTATTTGCCTGATACTGGTATTGCCACTTCAGCCCACTTTTGTTTACTGTTTGCATGAGTTATCATTTTAAAAATGATAACAATTTGATGATAAAATGATAAAATGATAATGATAAAATGAGAAAATTCTGTCTGATGGTTTCTACGTTTTAATTGAAATGTTCAATCCATTCACATTTAATACAGTTATTCATATGCTTGGCTTCATGTCTGCTACTTTGCTATTTTCACTATATCTTGTATCTTTTATTCCTCCCTTTATCTTTTACTGCTTTTTTATTGTGTTAAATTATATTTTCTTGTATATTATTTTATTTTATTATTATTATTATTATTTTGAGATGGAGTTTCGCTCTTGTTACCCAGACTGGAGTGCAATGGTGCGATCTCAGCTCACCGCAACCTCCGCCTCCTGGGTTCAGGCAATTCTCCTGCCTCAGCCTCCTGAGTAGCTGGGATTACAGGCATGCACCACCATGCCCAGCTAATTTTTTGTATTTTTAGTAGAGACGGGGTTTCACCATGTTGACCAGGTGGTCTCGATCTCTTGACCTCGTGATCCACCCGCCTCGGCCTCCCAAAGTGCTGGGATTACAGGTTTGAGCCACTGCACCCGGCCTGTTGTATACTATTTTAATTCTCTTTTTTGTTTGTTTTGTAAAAACCGTGTTTTTGAGTTATTTTATTATTGATTGCTGTAAGGGTTGAACTGTACATCTTAGTTTAATGCAATCTGTGCTGGATTAATACTAAGTTATTTCCTGGAAAATATAGTCATCTAGTCCAATATAACTCCATTTGTCCTCCCTTGTTTGAGCTTTCATGGTCACATATGTCATACTTTTACATTATATGGCTAACATAGATAATAGTTTTATCAATTATTTTGTGCAATATAATTTATACTAATGAAGAGAAATAAAAACAATAAAAAAGACATACCGTTGACCCTTGAACAATGTGGATTTGAATTGCATGGGACCACTTCTATGGATAATTTTTACAATAAATGTAATGGAAAAATTCTTTGGAGATTTGTGACACTTTGAAAAAACTCACGGATGAACTGCATAGCTTAGAAATATTGAAAAAAAAAGTAAAAGTTATGTCACATAGACCAATGAAACAGAGTAGAGAGCCCAGACATAAGGCCGTACACCTATGACCATCTGATCTTCAACAAAGCAGTGGGGAAGGCACTTCTACTTGATAAATGGTGCTGGGAGAACTGGCTACCCACATGCAGAAGGCTGAAATAGGAGCGCTTCATTACACCATATACAGAAATCAATTCAAGAAGGATTAAAGACTTAACGTAAACCCCAAACTATCAAACCCTGGGAGGCAGCCTAGGCAATACCATTCTGCACATAGGCACAGGCAAAGATTTCATGGCAAAGGTGCTAAAAGCAATGGCAACAAAAGCAAAAATTGACAAATGGGATCGATTAAACTAAAGAGCTTCTGCACAGCGAAAAGAACTATCAACAGAGTAAACAGGCAACCTACACAATGGGAAAGAAATATTGCAAACTATGCATCTGACAAAGGTCTAATATCCAGCATGTATAAGGAACTTAAACAAATTTACAAGGAAAAAAAACCCAAACAGCTGCATTAAAACGTGGGCAAAGGACATGAACAGACATTTTTCTTTTTTCCTTTTATTGTACTTTAGATTCTGGGGGACGTGTGCAGCCCATGCAAGATTGATCCATAGGATCCCCTATGCTCCACCTGTTCATCCCCTTTTCCACCCAACCCCTGGAAATCACTGATCTTATTCCTGTCTCCATAGTTTTGAATTTTCCAGAATGTCCTATATTTGGAATAGTACAGTATGTGGTTTTTTCAGATTGGCCTCTTTCATTTAGTAATATGAATTTAACTTTCCTTCTTGTCTTTTCATGGCTTGATACCTCCTTTCTTTTTAGCCCTGAATAACATTCCATTGCCTGGATGTACCACACTTTATTTATTCACCCACCATGATTTAAGGACATCTTGGTTGCTTCCAAGTTTTGTCAATTTTAAATAAAGCCGCTACAAACATCCATGTACAGCTTTTTTAGGTGGAATTCTCTTCCAGTCCTCTCAGTAAATATGAAGGAGAATGGTCAGAGTGATAATTGCAGCACCTAGAGCACTCCCAAGTTGCTAAAGTTCTCAGCATATATTCCAGGAGCTTATGAAATCTCTCCAGACTATTCTTGTGTTTCTTTATTACCCGATACCTAGCACCTTCTCATGTAACTGTGGGTATGGGAGTAATAATGATTCTTTGGCGACAACTCCGTGATGTTTATATTCTTGGCTATTTTATTTGTACATCATGTTGAACTTTTTAAATTTTTTTCCGTGTGTCTTCTTTATGGCTCATTTCACTCTCCCTATTTGCCTCTTAATATTTTTCTGTTTTATCTGTGCTAACCTATGCAATTAGGGGAACCAAACTGAGCATATTGATGTAGTTACCTTGACCTGGGAAAGGCGATTTTTTTCTCACTTTCTCCTCATCTATTCGTTGTTATATGCACTATCCTAGTGATCAGAATCAGGCAGTTTCTGCATGTGAGCATTAAACTGGGACAGTTTATCTAGCTGTTTCCTTTAGGCATGTATCCAATAGTGCAGGTACATGTAGCATTGCTTTTATTTGTATTAACAAGTCAGAACATAATTTTGTAAAATTTTATTCTTTTGATTTAAAAAGTCTTGGCAACTGTAGGGATATGATATGTTTTCAACTAGAAAAAATACAAAGAGTTTTCATTTATGCCTGAAACTCATGTCAATAAGCCAACCAAGCAAAGTTGCTGCTTTCTAAGAATTAAAATTCTGAAAAAGATGTTGAGGTGGGCATTAATTGAAAGAGGCAGTTTTGGTGCAGAAATCAACAGGAAGGATTTCCTACTACAACTACAGGATGCATTCTTGCCTCAGTTTTCAACCTTCATTTTTTGTTTGGGTCCTCAGCAGAACATGTTAACCTATCATCATTACTTATATCTTCTTGACACCATAGCATCAGTCTAGAAAATCAAGAGGGGCCGGGTGCTGTGGCCCATGCCTGTAATCCCCGGCATGGGATTTGGTAGGCTGAGGCAGGCAGATCACGAGGCCAGGGGTTAGAGATCAGTCTGGCCAACATGGTGAAATCCCATCTCTACTGAAAATACAAAATTAGCCAGGCTTGGTGGCTCATGCCTGTAGTCCTGGCTACTAGGGAGGCTGAGGCAGGAGAATTGCTTGAGCGCAGGAGGCAGAGGTTGCAGTGAGCCAAGATCATGCCACTGTACACCAGGCTAGGTGACAGAGTGAGGCTCTGTCAGGAAAAAAAAAAAAAGAGGGAGCTGAGCTTATTAATATTCCATTAACTTTGCTTATTTGATAACATTGTATGAATTGTGGTTTTCCAAGATGATCAGTGATTCTTCAGGTTGAGTATCTAAAGTGTGGGGAGTTGAGGAACGATGGAGTCTTCATGAGGTGTACTTTAAGGGAGGCGGTTGAGATACCTTCCTTCCCCAGGCTTCCCTGAGGGGCAGCCTAACACTCTTTCTGA